TCCGACTTGGGTATGTGCTATTGTTGCTCTATTTCGATACTATTTTTAATTTTATATTTATCTATTCTTTAGTATTATATTCATGAAATGATTATTGTAATCTAAGTCATAAAACCTATATATGAATATTTATTCATGCTAATTATTTTCCAATTTCTTTATGAAATAAAAATTATAAAAAAGAATAACGATTTAGATTATTAATTTACAATTTGTTCATTTACCATTTACAGCACATTTAAAATTAGTAAAAAGATATAAATAAAAAAATCTTAATTTTTTCTATTTATAAATATATAAAACTAAATAGATTATGCCATATGGGTTTGATAAATAAAGTACATTGTATATATTTATACTGATAATAATTATTTGTTGAATGACATACTATCCTGTATGGAACGTGATAAAACTTTATGGTATTATGTTTACGACGTTTCATACGCAACGTCGGAAAAGTGGAAGCAATTCCAATTGAGATGCAGAAATAGTATAAGAGAAACTGTTCATAACCACTTAAAATAGTCATTTTAGTTCACTATGGAGAGTCACAATTTTATGTGACTCTGGAAGATAATTACTTCTGATATCACTTTTCACAAATGACTGTATTGGTTTTGCACTAGAGATTTCCAAAAATGGCAGAGATAAAACCTTCTTCCACAAAGTTTTATTTCTCGTCGATGATAAATGTTTCTTCCTTGACGAAAAATTCTATTACTTCTTCTTCTACATTTTTGGAATCAGAATCTAATTCGTCTGTATCAATACCTGAAAAAGAATCAAACGATGTAAAAAAAAAGTAAAATACTTTTAAATTTTAGAAAAAATATTTATTCTACAAACCATTACGTAATTCTAAACGTCTCTTCTTTTGATTATTCCATTCTTGTATGCGTTTTGAACGATATTCTTCGAATGCTTTCATCGCTGCACAGCGTTTCTCAATTAATTCCTAAAAAATAATTTTATAGTAAATGCACAATTTATAATAAATATATATTAATATGATATAATTACCTTTGAAGCACGAGTTAATCGCATACGATCTTTACTTTCGAATTGCGCAGAATACTTCTTCAAATTTTTCTTAATTTCTTTAATTTGTTCTGGTGTCAATAATGTTGGTGGTCTTGGTCTCCATAAGAGCTGATTAAATTGATTAAGATTAACTCTTTTTAATATACGTCCTTGGAACGTCCATATCCAATATCCATTATCCACACTAGTTTTCCAACTGGAAACAGCTGTTACCACGTATCTATAAAGAAATACATACTTAAAATACATACAATATCATAATTAAAGACTTTAAACATAAATATTAAAATAAATATTTACCGTCCAGTAGGATCCCATTCTACATCTGAAGTTTGATAATGATCAGTTGAATTCATGATAGTAAAATCATTAGTATCAATGAATTCTAAAGCTCCTGCCATGGTTGTTAATCCAGCAAGAACAATAAATTGACCAGATGGCGACCAAAATAAATGATTGCAAGCCTTTTTTTCCAATTTTTCTATTAAATAGAATAAATATTTATATATATAATACTATAATAAAATATTGATAAATATTGATTGATTCAAGAAATAATTATTATTATAAAAAAAACTTACTCAGAAGAGCTGGTTGATGACCATATCGTACTTCGTAAAAACTAACATTAACACTTGGAATTTCTCCATGAATAATAGCAAATTTGCTTCCCACAGGTTCCCAAGCAAATGCATGAATTGGTTCTTTTATTTCTACACTATCGACAGGTATTTGTTTTTCTCTCATATGAAAAATTTCAAAATTATATGACATACCCTGTAGATAAATATATAAATTTTCATCAAATTGTACATCTTAATATATAATTTTAATATTTTTATAAATACCGTGTATTTCTGTTCTGTCTTTTCTTTGCGTTTGGCGAAACGATCGACCTTTACACAAAGATAATCCCCTGATTTTTGCCAATAAATTTTACAATCAGCCACATTAAACAAATTTTTGTTGCGAATTTCATTACGACTAGAAATATATATTTAGTTATTTATATAATTTATGAAATATGAATTATAGTAATATTAACAATTATTACTTTGGAATTTCAAGAAGAGTAACTCTTGCTGGAACATCTTTATCTTCTGGTACCCAGTAAGCAAGAACATTATCTGTAGGAGACCAACTAAAATCTCTGATACCAGGAATTTTTATACTTTTCTTATCTAATAATCCAAATGACTGTAATATTTATGAAATTCATCAAAAACAACATATTCAATAACATTTATCAAATAATTAAATCATAATATTAAGAAAAAATACATACAGGTGTTTCATAAACACTCAAAATATCTTCTCCCATACGAGCAAGATATTTATCATCATGTGACCAGCGGAAAATAGGCCATACTGAAGAACCATCTGCGAAAAATGCACGTTTTTCTTGACCAGTAAGAATGTCCCAAATTACAAGACGTTTCTGTTCAGAACCAAGATCAGTTCTTGGAGTATATGTTACTAAATAACGCTCGCCAGGAGAAAAATCAATACATTCAACACCTTTTTGGCTGAATCTAGCTTGTTGCAAAAATTGAGGGCCACCCCATAATGCAACACCCAGTTTATGGAATGTTGCTAAATATGTTCCTAATGGAGACCATTTAACATATGTCTCTGTCCAGCGCTATGTGAAAAATATGTAAATTTTATATTAATAAATTATTGATTAAAATTGATATATGTATATTAAATAAAATATATAACTTACAGAACGTTCTTCAAGTAATGTTGGTTCAGGAGCAGAATTTTGCCAGACTTGAACAGTAACAGAAGGACCATTACCACAAAGCACACAAAATTGATCATAAGCATCTGGTTCTAAAAGATAATAATGAAGATCAGCTGCTGCTTTAAATTCTTGTGGTTTTGGAGGTTCCCATTCATCTGGAATTTCTTCAAATTTCTTGAAATCAGTGAATAAATTTACTTTAAATGTATGTTGCTTGTCAATTTTATAATTATTTACAGATTGCGCAGCTGCTAAGGCATTGAGAGGATTGTTATATTCTAGAAATATGTATCTGAAATGAAATAAATTACATATTAATTACATATTTATAAATTAAATTTTTGAAATATAAGAATATCATCATGGATCATTAGTATATGTACCCTTTCGTAAAACCATTTTCATTTTTGGGATAATATTGATTTACTATTGTTCCAAACTTTCCCAACACTTTGCTAATAACAGATTGAAGTTTTTCCAATCTTTCTGGTTCAACCTGGGGAACTCCATCAATGACAATTACTGATTCTACTCCATCTGTCTCCGAGGGTTTTTGTTTCAAGATATCTCCAAGTAATTCTGAAAAAATATATAAATAGAAGTATATAAGTATTATATTAAAATGTTAAAAAAATTTATATTTAATATAAATTATAAAACAATATTTAATGAAAAATACAAAACACTCATGGTTTTTTAGGTTAGGTATGCATGCCACATTTGCGATTATACGTAGCCATGCTTTCAGACATCATAGCATAGCTTTAATTGTTTTGTCATTGAAGAAAAATTTTATTTACCTTCGTCAGTAATATCGTCAACAAATCCTTCAGGATCACTAAAATTTGGTTCTTCATCTTCGTTAAATGTATCATCATTATTTTTAATATTATCCTCATTTTGAGGTGTTTTATCTGCTAACATTTTCTTCGCCATCTTGGAAACCTCTGAACTTATAGAGAATCAAATGAAAATGGCAGCATGTTGCCTTTCTGCATTGAATGCAACTTTTGAAAAGTGGAAGTCAAACATATACCCATTTCTTAATAAATGAAATTAACCAATTTTTTTTCTGTTTTCATATCTATTGTATTCATTATAAATAATAATTTTATAAAAATTTTATAAAAATATATATATTTTATAAAAATTTTTGCACATATAAAAAAAAATTAATTAGATTAACATGTGATGATTAATTATATAATTTAATAATAAAATATCTATTAAATTATTAAATATTTGGAAAATGGAATATATTAAAAATATCATTATAGAAGATTCATAAATTTAAATACCATAATTTGTTTGTTTTATCATGTGATAAAAACTTTTTTTCATGAACTATAATTTTATATATAATTATATAGTTTACATATAGTTTTAATAATTTAATAAAATATATTATTTAATTAAGATATAATTTTTCTTTAAATTTTTTTTACATTTCTAAAATAAAATTAAACACAGTTAATTTTTAAATTAAAATTTTTTAGTTTTGAAAATTAAATCAAATAATTTTAAATGAAAATTATAAACAACTAATAATAAGTAATTGTACAATTGAAATATTAAAATTCACTATTAATCATTTAATAATAAATAAATAGATTTAATCTTCATATGATAATTGAAAAATTCAAATATTAACTTCTAAATTTTTAAACTAAATATATATCGAGACCGAATGAAAAATTACATTTTTTACATAATTTGAGATTGATTTTATTGAAGTGTTCTTTTTCATATATTAATTATAAATGACTTTAAATAATTTTATTGTTAATTATCAATAATTAAAATAGATATATAAAATATTTATAAAGTAATTTATAAATAACTTAAAGTAATCTTTAATTGTAATATTTTTGGATACATAAATAATATTTTTATAATAAAACGAGAATATAAAGAAATAAGATCATTAAATTAGTATTTCTGTATAATGATTGTAAATCAGAATATTTATAAAAATATATAAATATTGCTATATATTATATATATTAATATTTCAAGTATAATATAATTGTACATAAATTTTTAAAAATTAATAATTCATTCATCAATTCGTATCTTAATGATTAATACTTTTTTTTGTTATTAAAAAAAATGTTATAATTATTATTATTATATAATTATTAAATGATTTTTATAAAAAATATAATAAAATAATGAAGTATGTAATAATAATATAATATATAATAATGAATTAATTTGTGCTATAAATTATTTATTATGGTAATTATGTATAAAATATTTTTTAATCAGTTTATGATATAATTTTAATTAATATTATTTTTAATATAATCATGATATATTTTTATAACAATTTAAAATTCAACTCAATTTTATTAATTTTTTAAGAATTAAAATTATATTTGTATAGTAATATATTTTTAAATACCGGTACCTTTTACCGGTAAAATAAAATAAGGTTATATCATATAAGTTATTTCATGTATAGGTTATATTACGAATATTATTTTTGTTATTATTAATAAAAAAAAAAATGAATAAATTATTGACTACATCAATTAAAGAAGTAAGTCAAAAAATAAGTATTGGTGATGTATGTCCGTCTGACATTACAAAAGCCTCTGTTAAAGTTACATCGATCATTAAACCTTTAAATGCTTACATTACTGTTACTGATGAAATAGCGAAGAAACATGCTAAAAGTTCAGATTTACGACAAAAAAATCATAACTTATTAGGAAGACTTGATGGAATTCCTATTGCAATTAAAGATAATTATTGTACAAAGGAACATTTAACAACTTGTGCATCAAAGATGTTATCAAAGTTTATTCCTCCATATAATGCTACTGTATATCAGCGTTTAAAAGATGCTGGAGCAGTATTAATTGGTAAAACTAATCTTGATGAATTTGCTATGGGTTCTGGAACCATTGATTCATATTATGGACCAACTAAAAACTTATGGAATTCAGATGTGTTAACAAAATTTTATTCCTGTGATAAACATATAGAATATATAAAACAAAATACAGATACAAATTTATGGCATATAGCAGGTATATGTTATAAAATTCCTTTTTTCAAATTTTTTATAATAATCCAATTTTAGGTGGTAGTAGTGGTGGTTCTGCAGTGGCTGTTATAAGTGGAAGTTGTTATGGAGCAATTGGTTCTGATACTGGAGGTTCAACAAGAAATCCAGCATCTTATTGTGGTTTAATTGGATTAAAACCTACTTATGGTTTGGTATCACGTTATGGACTTATTCCTCTTGTAAATTCAATGGATGTACCTGGTATTCTTACAAGAAATGTTGATGATTCTGTATTAATATTGAATACTATAGCTGGTCCAGATAAATTTGATTCTACTTGTTTACAAAAAGAATATATACCATTTGAAATAGCAGATACAATAAATATTAGCAATCTTAGAATTGGAATACCAAAAGAATATAAAGAGAAAAATTTAAGTCCTGAAATACAAAAATGTTGGGATGAAGTTTCTCAATATTTGAGAGAAGGTGGTGCATCACTTTTTACAGTATCATTGCCATATACCAATTATTCTATAATGTGTTATACAGTTTTAAATCGTTGTGACATTGCTAGCAATCTTGCTTGTTATGATGGTATAGAATATGGTTACAGATCAAATGAATGGAATTCTGTGTATGATATGTATAAAAAAACGAGATCTGAAGGTTTTGGTAAAATAGTTAAAGAACGTATTTTGGTTGGAAATTATTTCTTATTGGAAGAAAATTATGAAGAGTATTATGTTAAAGCAATGAAAATAAGAAGATTAATTTCAGAAGACTTCAATGCAGTATGGAATAATAATATTGATCTTTTACTTACGCCTACCACTTTGACAGAAGCTCCTAGATATAATGATTTTACTTCAATGGATAATCAGACACAGTGTTCAATTCAAGATTATTGTACACAACCTGCTAATATGGCAGGTATACCAGCTGTTAATATACCAATTAAACTTTCTAAAAATAATTTACCTTTATCCTTACAACTTATGGCATCTCCTTTCAATGAGAAAATACTTCTTACAGTAGCAAAATGGATTGAACAAAGAGTACAGTTTCCAAAACTCGAATTAAAGGATATTTATTTGTTAGAATAAAATATTTTTATACAAATATTTTGATTCTTTTTATTTTTCCATATCTTCTTTTTATTATTTAATTCTTAATTCTCCTTTTTATTTGATTAATAATTATTAATTATTAATTTGGAAATTAATATACAATATGCTTTACATATATATATTTATTAAAAATATATGTATTAAAAATGCTTGATATTTTATAGTTCAACTTCAAATAATATAAATATAATATAAATATAATATATATAAATTATATAAATATAATATAAATATAAATATAATTAATGAAATTTAAATAAGTATAATTATTCTTTAAAAAATGATTATGACCATGTAAGATATAAATTATACTTTATGAGATATCAGTTGTATTTGAAATTCCATTCGTTGGATAATCAAATCGCATTTGTTTACTATGTTAAAGGATTCTTCTGTTATTGCAATGCGCGCTTTATAAATAAATGTCAAGCGATATATATACATGATTGTAAATTGTTTGGAATATGAAAATGATAAAATTCCAATGTAAAGTAGATAACATCATGATCGAAAGATGGAAAAATGAATATCTAAGTTTTTTATAAATACAATTTATATTTATAAATACAAATATTTAATTAAATTTAATATTACATTATATTTTATTTTATGTTATTACAATGATATATAGAAATTTTCCATATTTAATTTAATAATTTAGAAAATATTATTTAGAAAAAAAGTTTATTTTTTACTTTTTATTATAGAAATATTATTGATTTATTAATTATATTTATATATTATTAATTATTAAATAATATTATATTTTATTAAGTTTATTGATTATATGGTTAATAATATTTTTTTATTTCGAAGATATTGTATTTGAATAGTAAATATTTTGAATATTCTGAATATTTTGATATTTTGATTATTCTTAAGAGATTTGTACAGAGAAATTTAATAAATCAAATGTTATATATATTGAAACTTCTACAATTCTTAAATCTACAGTCAATTTTCATTTATATAGAAATTTTAGGTAAGTCGTAATTAAAATTCTGTCGGTAATATTTTATAAAATTTAGAAAACAAATTTTATAGAATATTACAAAAATTTACATATATATATGTATATATACGTAAATGTAACTATTTAAACATATTTTATATGTTCAAATATAAAAAAACAAAATTGTGTACTTTAATGTTGCTCAACTGATAAAATAGCATCAAAATAATAAAATTGATTTTTACAACTACGTTTTTTATTTATTTTATTATAATTTATTATAATTTATAAATACATATTATAGCATATACATATAAAATAATAAAATAAATAACAAAATAATAGAAACATATATGTTTGTATTAGCTTTAAAAAATATTTTCTATAAATATTCAAATAAATTTTTAAACAATTTATTAACATATACATAAATTATTTAATACACATTCGCAAAATAGAGATTCGAATTTCAATTAATCGATATTGCTTCATACGAATTAAATCAATCGTGACGCTATCCACGAATGATATGTGTCATTGTACGAAGCAACCCCAAACAAAGACAATGAACAAAAGTTGCATTAAAGAAATTGTTTCTGTTATGTAATGTTTGACATGTCAAAAATTATTTCAAAATTAAAGCAATGAAAAATAAGAAAGCAGATATTCGAAATCACATTTATAATATAAGGGTGGTCTTTAGAAAAATAGGGTTGGGCACAGGGTGTAAAGGGCGCATGCGTTAACCCGGCCGAGGGCTGTCGTGTCGCTCTCTGTCGACGATTCCGCCAGTCGTCGTGACGACCTCGAACCGTCAGTGTCGCGAATCGTGGTTTTTGTTGAATCGGTTTATCTTGTTCGTTCTCGTTCTCCTTTGGTTCTGCTTGTTTAATTCTTGTTTTTTTTTTTGGTTATTCGGCCGAATATGCCGAATATGGAACAATGTTGAAGTGGCGCGGTTTAAATCGTAGTCGGATTCGCGCCGAGATCGGTAGTGTCGTAATTTGAATGTAAAGTAGTATCGGCTGTGTCGTTAGTGTCGAAGATCGAGATCTCGAATTCTTGCGATTCTCTGGAATAGTGTAGGCGCGTTTCTGTTGCGCAGAATACGGACGATTGGGAATTTAAACAGGTGTGTGCGGAAATAAGGGTATTCCAATTAAACGTGTCAGATATGAAGGTAAATATTTTATAATTATAGCAATAAATTAATTTATATTAATATATAAAAATTGTTTAATGATATAAAAGGAATTATGTAAACTGAAAATTATATGTAATTACGTGCATTGTTTATGATTTGAAATATATGCCCTAATTTTTTATATTTATAAAAAATTTAATAAATTTTTTAAATATAAATTTCAAATATATCATAATTATTATACAATATGTAATATATAATAAATAGTTTTTTAAATTTTATGATAATTTAATATATAATTCTTAGATATTATAGCAATAAATTTTTCATATATTGCACGATAGTAAATGACAATATCATTATATGAATAATAAAATAATAAAATAAAATAAAAAATTAAAAAGTCAAATTTTCATATAAAAACATCTATTAATATGTTTATATTTATAATTGTTTTTATTCGATTAATTTAATACAATGATTCAGTAATTTAATATCGTACAAATCGCATTTCGCTTCAGTTTTTTTTCAAATTTACTGAATAATCTATGAATAATAAATAATTTTACAAGTTTATATTTTAATTTTTCGAATTTATTTTACAGAATAAATGATTTTATTGGAATATTTCTGATATGAGAAACAGAGATTAGAATGAGCAAATAGAATTGTTAATGAATGAAATAAATAATGATTATTAGTATAAAAAATATATTTAATGATATTAATTAAAATATTTGCATAATTCTTTTGACTTTTTACACAGATGAATACAAATAGTTTTCGTATAGAATTTTATTTCATAAATTTCAAAAATTTTTATAAATGCATTATACAATTTAAAAATTATTAATATATATACATTACATATATTAATATATTATTATTAATTTTAATAATATATATTATTGTTAAATTAATTTTTCTTGTTAAATTATTCTTGTTAAATTAATTTTTCGAATTAATTTAAATTTTAAGAATTTTCCATAGATATTATTTAATTTAATAATATTGTAAAGAATAAATTAAAATTTTTTATTAAGTTAAGTTAAAATTAATGGTATTAAAAAAAATTAATTATAGAATATTTAATCATAAAAAAATTAATTTAATTTCTATCTTTTATATATTTTAAAAAAATAAATTATTTCCGTTTTTTTTAAATTTATATATTTAAATCATTAGCTAAGTTATTTTATCATAATTAAATTAAATAATAATTATCAAGTTTTGATATTAATAATTTAATTTAATAATTTATTTATTAAGAAATTAATATAAACAAAATAAATTTCGTTTTTTGACAATCATTTTATATTATATATAATATATTAAGATCTTTGCTTTCAATATATTATATTATTTAACAATTTGAATTGTTATAATTTAAATTTGTTTTTATTGAAGTAAAAACATTTTTAATATTTTAGGAAAAATTACATAAAATTGAAACTAATCATATTCTTTTCAAATTTAAAAGAATATAATTTGATTAAAGATAACTTGAAAAGATAACAAAATTTTTGAGTTCGTATAACACATAATTTTCTTTTATTGCTTTTTAAGAAAAATTTAAATTAATAACGAATATTTTTAATACGTTTGAATGACCGATGTAAATTTATTCAAATACATAAAAATTTTTAAATTTATTTAATGTAACATTCCTCCTTCATCTTTGAGAAAAATTTAAACACTATATAACGATTTAATCGTTTAATTTATATCCTTCTTAAAAAACTTAAAAAATATAAACTTTTTCAGAAATAGATATAAAATTTTTTAGAAATATATATTTGAGTTTGAAAATGACTCGAATAAAATCATTTAAATATATATATATAAAATCTCTGAATTATCACAATATAATAACTTTTTTTTTTATCTTTAAAAAAAGTTTAAATATTAATGAACTTTTTTTTCAAACTTAAAAAACTTGTTTGATGATACAAATTGTTTTCAAAAAACGATCCCAAACGATTGAATTAAGTATTTGAGTTAACATAATCTTTTTTTCTCTCTTTTTTTCGTAGCTAATCTAATTCAAGAGTTTAATGTGACGAAAAGTAACGGAAAGAAACACAAACATGCATCATTGAATCATTAAGAAGATCATGTATTTTTCTTTATTTTCCTTCATAGAAGTAATAGTATAATTCACATAATTCATTCGTGATATATTGACACGATTAAAATAATAAAAAAAAAAAAAAAAAAAATGGAGAAGAAAAACAGAGGTCATTGAATTTTTGAGAAAATTGGGTATCTCTGATACATTTTCGAAATAGCAATTTGCACTGCAGCCTTATTGCCATTCATGTATTCCTGACTCTCACCCTCCATAATGGAGTTCTGTCGATATTAGATGAACAGAGGCTCGGAAAATTTTGCTTTTCCACTCCCTTTCTCTTTCTTTCTCTCTTTCTCTTTCTATTTGCGCGACATGAAGCGTGTGCTCATTCGTTCTATTTTGAGGATATTGATCGGCTTTCATGCCATATGAGAATATAAGGTTTCGAGGGAAAGTTACATCGTTGCTTTACGCTCGACCTTAATATCTTTAACCATGATCACTATAAACTTTCCCAAGAATCTGCGTCCTCATCTCTCAATTGCTCTCGTACAACACCGTATACACGATCAAAGTTCTTTCTATTCTAAATCAGTGACAGTTTTCCTTCGATGAGAGAAATTTGATGATAATGATGTTTTTTCAGGAGGATGTTAGATATTGTTTGATGATTTTTATTACGCGCACTCGAGAAGAAAGGAATACATGAAGATTAAGATTTTAAAAGATTTTTAATAACTTTGAATCGTTACAATTCGATTATCATTTTTACATCCTCTTTTTTTTTTTGTCTGTCGCCTGTCTCTGCATCTATCAATTTTGATAAAATTTTAAGCACGTATATGATTGACATATATTTACAAAATTGTATTGTTTAACTTCTCTTTATAGATTCTCTTCATAGATAAAAAAATTGTAAAAAGCGATCTTTATTATTTTCTTCACGATTCTGATCAATTGCAATTTTTTCAAAAATTTTTTTACACGTTATTTGATAAATTAATGCTTTTTAATTTTTTAAAGAAACGTCAATTTTGTTGTCATTAAGATGAAAATAATGATTTTAAAAAGTGTAAAAAATCTTTTTTTCAATATTGTTTTTGGTTCTCGTGATGATTACTCAGATTTAATGAATTACATATTAATAATTTGAAAAGAAAACTTCTCAAGAGTATGAAAATTGAACAAGAAAATTTACGAAACTTTACGAAAATTTACGAAACTTTGTTTATGAATTCATTTTAATTAAACATAAAAAGTGTACAGAAATGCATAATTCTAATTATAAGTATAATTTATTACAATTTACCAATTTTAAAGTTTTAATTAATATTTACAGCATATATTTTTTTAAAAAAAACGATAGAATTTTTTTAATTACTTTTTATCTAGGATTCAAAGACATATTTTTATTATCCAATTATACAATAATTAATAATTAATAATATTATTGAATACATAAGTTTTAAGCTATCTGTAAGAAAAGATTCGATAAATATTTATTGAAACTTTACAGACTAATTATAATTATAATAATAAAAATTAACGAAACATTCTCTCAAATTTTCGAATAATTTTTATAAGAAGTTTAGATTATTAATCGTTGTTGTAACAAGAAAAATCGATAATTATGGGAAAGGGATTAATCAACTCGCAATCGTTTCGTGATAATGCTAAACAAAACAATCAGCTGACTTGTAAGTTATTATTATTGCAAGTTATCCACTTGTAGAATTTCACTTGTTTCCTTATCAAAGTTGTTACTATTACGTGAGAGAATACATTAGAACTTTGACTAACTTTATAACTTTGTAATTTTGTAACTTGTAACTTGTGTAATATAACTTTTAATTTGAAAATAATTCCTTATAAAGATTTTAATCAAATGAACAATCTTTTTCCAGTTAATCGATTTATGCAATATGCAAATTATAAAATTATAACTATTGTGTACAACTTTGTGCTAATTTATTCAATGTATATCTATCTGTAAAATTTATTAATAATACAATAATATTAATTACAATAATATTAATAATATTAATAGATTATAGTATTATTAATAAAATTTCTTTTTTTGAAAAATATCTTGAATATATTATCCTATGGAAAATAAATATATATATATATATATATATATATATATACTATTCTGTATAGGATATAGATAATTTTGTATACTATAGATGCATATACATAGAATAATATAGTCATTAAAACTTTATAGAACATATTAAATAATATTTCCGGTTCTGAACTTTGTTCTATACAAAATAGTACTTATTCAAGAGGCATTGTTATTTGAACTAGTTAGGCTGTTCTGTCTTTATATGCACTTTTGTTTTTGCATCGACCTTGTTTTTGCGGAAAGACAGAGGCTAAATCTAATCTTCGTTTATGTGCCGTGACAAAAAAACGTGCATTACGACTTGAAAAGCTTGCGGCGAGTGTAAACCGTGCCTTTGCACGTGGAAAAGAAATAAAGGTAACAAGTTAACGATAACAGACCGTCAAATTGCTGGTAATCGACTAATTTCGTTATCACGAGTACGATGGGCACGATAGATTTCAATTTCTTTTTTTGTTATTTTATGACTCGTTTAATCGCACATAGAGAAAAGTGTTGCGCAAAAAATGGAAAAAAATGAGGAAAAATTTTCTTTTATGTGGTTGTATTTTTATTACCTTTATGCGAGTGTATAAAAAAAGAAAAATAAATAAAGTCGAAACATCCTTTTTATAGTTGTATTTTTATTACTGTTATACGAGTGTGTAAAATTTTAACACTCTGTATGAAGTAAATTGAAGGGAATGAGAAAAGAGAGTAGTAAGACATTAAATTGGTATTTCTGGTGAAATGTCTTTTGAGTTAGAGTTTAATGAGTTAATGCCATCACATTTATGTTTGCTTTATACTGTTGATCAAAAGTATTAAGTATTAAGTATCAAAATTATATATCAACAA